AGGTCAGTTTTATGTTATTTGATACGGTAACATGAGTGCACGTGAGCCGCTTCATTGTAATTTCTGTATTGTTAGACAGACACGGCTGAAAGGTCAATATAACAAAAATAATAAATCTCTCAGGCAGATGCACAAAGAAGATAGCTTTTCTGTGTGAGGATGTGAGTATCTAGAATATATTAAAAATACATTTTCAAATTAGGTAAATGTTAACTTTAGTTGCAATAACTATAAACCATTCTTGGTAAGCAGGCTCTAATAGAACAGAATAAACAGGAACAGGTCTTCACAGTAAATTCTGGCTCTCTCAGATTAGAAAAAGAAATTGTCTTTTTCTAAGGTCAGATCAAATGTGATGTGAAAGCATCAAAACTAGTTTCACATTTCTTTATAACAGACCAATCAAACAGTGGGCACAAAAAATGGAGAAATGTCTTTTCTCCATGTGACAGTCAAATGTATCCCTATCCATAAGGTCAAGTAGAACAAAATGCAACTATCCCATCAAACAGTAGATAAGTTCCTTGATTGGTAAAACTACTAATAATATCACCTCGGGCTGAATTTAATACATTCATTCAACCAGATTTAGAATGTTCCAAATCAGTACTTAATAAATCAAACATTTTGTAGATATGAAATATATAAGGTATGTGGTATTTGCATACTATGTATATACACTTATATTTATATAATGATTTGATGTTTAGTCTCAAAGGGAAGTACTACAGTGGGAAGAAAGAAAAAAGTGTCAGCAGACTGTTCAAAGACTCCATAGTCAGTTGAAGAACAAAGAGCAAGAGCTAGAGAAAGTCCAAAAATCTAGCAAACTACAGAGAGAACAGGTAATATATCAAATTTATCACAAGAATGACTCCTGATAGATTTGACTTTTTCATTAAACCAGTTTTTTGGGTTGTATCTCAAGTCAATTCCATTTTTGTAGTACCGCTAATTGTTATATATATATGGTGTTGACTAGGTGCCTTCCCTTTAGTCTATCATTTTAAAATTAGGAATGGCTAGTGAAGGTAGTTGTCATGTAGCTTTCTGCAAAACTCAACAAACAAACAGCTTTTAATATGTGAATATTAAATTTTGGTATATTATTAATCTTCAGGTATTCAGTATTCTTTTTTTTTTTGTTGCAATATTTAATTTGAGAGTGTTAACCAAAATTCATCATTGTTACATATGTTCATAAAGAGGTAGTATTATGTTTTCTCCTTAGTAATTTAAAGTTATGATTTTTTTTCGTTCTCCTCTCTCTGAAGAGAACAAAAAATACCATGTGCTGTGACATTATATAGTATGTTAGATTGTTTCCTTAGGCTTGCAAAAAACATCTTAATGAAAATAACTTAGTTTTTTACCTAGTTATTACTGTTAAAATAGAACATTTGGAGAAAAGTAATATGGTTATACAATGGCAATGGTGTATAGTAAAAGTTTGAAATTTTACATGGTGACTATATTCAATGGATGTTTGTAGTTAATTTATAATTATAGATATCGGTAAAAAAAATTTTTTTGATTTAAGTCACATTTTATGAAAGATTTTATTTATCTACCTACTGCGAAGTATTGAAATTCATCATAACACAAACACATTTCAATATCTTTATTAAATTATCCTTTATATTTTTGTGATTTCCATGTATTTATAATGTTCAAATTTTGACATGGCTTAAAAAATTATACATTTTACGTGTCTTTGTTTGTTCACTAGCCTACAAAAACAGATGGTGCACAAAATTTGTTGTTTGGACATTACTTGTTCATCCAGCTCCTTCTAATAATGATTGAAAATTGAAATAACAGATGGAGTAAAAGTGTGGTCATTCAATTTACAATTTTCTTCCTCAGTGTAATCATTATATAATATACTGCTTTTAAAAATTAAACCTAAGAAAATGATAGCTTTTCTAGTAACATTGTTTTCTTGTGTAGATTTATAAATGTTATTTTTTTCTTAGAACTTGGTTCACTTATTTTTCTAATGTGTGGATTAGTATCTCTTCCATATTTTGTTTGACAAGTGTACTAAATCTCAAAAATCATCATATTTACCAGTAATAACAACCATAGAAACATAATGAATAGTTTGTTTGTTGAGTTTTGCAGAAAGCTACATGACAACTACCTTCACTAGCCATTCCTAATTTTAAAATGATAGACTAAAGGGAAGGCAGCTAGTCAACACCATCCACTACCAACTCTTGGGCTACTCTTCACCAGCAAACAGTGAGGTTAACTTTTACATTATAACGAACCAAAGACTGAAAGAGCGAGAATTTTCAGTGACAGGGTTTGATCACATAGGTGGCAAAGCGAGCACCCTAAATACCAGGTCCATTTCAGAATGGAATCATCATAAAACATCTTTTTATACTGGTGTTCAGAACAAAGCTGATATTGCAATAATATTTTCCACATACTGATATATAAAATTGTACTTATCAATATTCCTTATAGGTCTATATCCAAAATTGTTGAAGAAGTATAAATTATAACTATTTCTAGTACATTTTTTGTGTAAAACCACTGAGGAGATTCTTTATAAATCATAAATATGGCTCAAAATATATTTTTTTATGAATCATAGATATTCCAAATATTCATAAAGAAATTTGAAAAAATTCGTTGTATACATCTTAATTACTGCCATGCTTGAGACTAGGTCATGAATGAATCTGGTTTACAGAATGTTCACTGGTGAAGATCAACCACTTGTGAGTTTCACACATTAATTTCCTTATGTGTGTAAATATCATACTGGGGTTTTGTACTGTTTCAGCATATGATCATTACAAACCATTCAGAACTGTATAATTGGTATTATTACAGCATACACTGCTTTTATTTACTGATATTTTTTAAAAAAGCAACAAAACACTGTTAAATTTTCAAATATGTGTTCAGAATGTTTTTAATTTGAAGTTTCCAATTTTTTTTAGCAATTTTGTTTTTGTTTTACCAAAGTAGCATGTGTACTGAATGTGAATATTGTACTTTTTATTATTCCTATATTTGAAGATACACAAAAAATGTATTGAGGCTTTCCTAACATTTGGATTTGTATCTCTCTGATAGCCAGGTGATTAGGGTGCTCAATTCGCTGTCTGCGGGTCACGGGTTCGATTTCCCGACAAAACCACAAAACATGCTCGCCCTTTCAGCCTTGGGGGCATTATAATGTGACGGTCAATCCCACTATTTGTTGGTAAAAGAATAGCCCAAGAATTGGCGCTGGGTGGGGATGGCTAGCTGCCTTCCCTCTAGTCTTACACTGCTAAATTAGGGACAGCTAGTGCAAATAGCCCTCGTTTAGCTTTGTGCGAAATTCATAACAAACAATCTCTCTGATGTTACACTGTTCTTCTTAAAGCATTCTAAAATGTCGCTGTAACACAAGATGTTGGGAAGAGACATCATTTTTCTTCAAGTTTTAAATCACATAAGCTGTGGTCTGGGCACTATAGACTGAAAAGCTACACTGGCTTCTGTTAATTATATACAAAATCTTCCAAATCTACATGGAACCAAAATCGTGTAGCATCATGTTGTTTACATGTATTACTTTTATTACGGTATTCTTAAAAAAACTTCAAATGTTGGGAAGACAACAAAATGATAAATTACTCACACTGAATTGTTCAGATGCAAAATAAAGAATGAGAGTTATCCATGGACTGTTACAATTATAGAAGAAACATATTGTTTAAATTATAAAATAAGAAAAATGAACAGACATGAAAAATAAGTTAACCACTGATTTAGAAAGTTTATTATTGATGAATAGTTACCAAATTGTGTTTGTGTTACTCCTTTTCTTAATGAAATTCATAAATACATATGAGCAGCATATTTCTCAATAAAATGTTTAAAGCATTTTTAAAGATATATAGAATACAATGAAGTAGTACATAAGATAAGAGTTTGTGTTACAGAAAGTCCATGGCAGTATCTAATATATAAACTAATAACCAGTTGTATTTTAACTTTCTCACTGTGAATAACCTTGTGCAAATATTTCACTGACCGTGAGTGGCGTGTAGGTATTAGACATTTACAAAATCTTCAGCTCAGTGAGATAACTTACAAAAATTTTTAGAGTTTTGTCAATGTACTTTCCTTGTATAACAGTACAAGTCAACTAGTATATTATATGATGCAATTACATCATGTATTGAAATTATTTTGGACTTTCACCTAAAATTTTAAACACTGAATTTCAATTGGGATGGATAAATAAATATACAAGTCACCCAATTCTTGTTTCCTCCAAAACATAATAAATATTTATTACAGTTATTTTGCAACATCATAAAACAATTCAAGCAGCATTGCTGTACAATAATACAAGTCTTGGAATAAAATGTCCTCTTTGAAAATTTCTTTAGAATGTTTTTTCTTTCAATTTGTTATATTCTCAGCAACATCTGCTAATTATATGTAACTAGCAAAGTAACTGGCATTGCTTGGATGAAAGTGGCTTTAACTGATTTATTTCTTTAGTTACATGCTAATTTATTGATCTACTGTAAAGCTTTTTTGTACACAATATTTTTTGTCTTGATGTCAGGAGCAAAGAAGAAGAGATAATGAGGAGAGAAGCAAATGAAGGATCCACAAAGTTTTTAAATCATTCTAACACGTAATTGATAATGGATAGAATGATTAGGAGAAGTCTTCACACAGAGAAGAAACGTAAATAATAACCATCTTGATCACACATTAATAAAACAAATCTGGCCTTTTCAATTTGAGATCAATTGATCATCATGTTTGCCAAAAATTGCTATAATGGTCACTTTGGCCTCAACTTGCAGCCTCTGAAGCCATGCCCACATAGCCCATGTTACTTCCCACAAGAAGTTGTATCTGTACCCTAAGTGTGGAGTTTGTAGCTTCAAAGATGTGGCCGTACAGACTCACAGAGAGAGAGACAATTGCACTTACATATACAGATGATAGAGGAATCTGAATAACAAAGTGAACAATGAAATAATAACTTTTGCAAAAACATAGGAACATAAGCAAAGTTAACTCTCACCATCTGCAGTGAATATGCTTGGATTAACAAATTAGTAAAATATGCTGTTTAATTTAAATAATAAAATAGCATTTATTACTGTAGTTTTCTAATTGCAATAGGAGCCCATCATGATAAACAAAAACCATATTTATTGACATAGTATGATGGTAGACCTGAGTTATTGTAATAAATATTTTTCATTTATGTCTTAGATTGAAGAAAGTAGAAAAACCTCTGTGGAACATGAAAAAACTATAGCTGCTTTGCAGAAAGTAGCAGAGAAATTACAGAGGGACAATGAAAAACTAAAAGTACAAGTTTCAGAAAATAAGATGAAAAACAAAGAAAGAGAGCTTGCTACAGTAGTAAGTTATTATTCTGGTTAAAATATACAAGTTGCTTTGAATGTGTAAAGTTTAGTATCACTTATAACACTGGCAATATTTTTAAAGCCATTTTGAACAATTGAAGTATGCATATGGTGAATATGGAGTCTGGGGCATTTCCTTATGGATAGTTTGTGACGTGGACTTTTTGTCATGGCATGCAAGTTTTTGTTACAAGTGTTCTTTGTGATTGGTGAATTTTGTTACTAGATTCACCACTACCTAATTCAAGTACTTGAGGACACTACCTGACCCCTCTCTCATTATTAAAGGTGTTTTGAATTCAAATCAAAGTATGTTAAATTACAATTAATGTTTTTATAGACCTAACTCATTTTCACTGTAATTTATGTTTTATGTAATACCATTCATGACACCCTCCCCTGTAATACATCATAATACAGGTTTAGACACCCCCATTATTTAATTTTTGAATGGTACCCAAATAATTGTACAATTACAATCTATTAGCATTTTTTATTAATATCACCAATCAATTTTATATTTAAAAACTACCTGTCACAGAATCGGTATTTGTAACAAAAACTGCCATGTCACAAAAAATGATGTGACAAGAATGCATCCATCACAAGTTGTTCTAGTAACAATGTGGTGGTAACAAAATGTCCAGTAACTAAGTCTTCATAACAAAATGTTCGGATCCCATGCATATGACAATATAATTTTGGGACACAAATTTTACTTTTTTCATATTGAACCCTTTGAGGATCTGTGAAATGTTTGTCTAGGATTACTCTCATCATTCTTATTAGAGGCTTATTACAATCAAACCTAAGGTGTTGAGCAATAGTGTGTAATCATGGCCATCAAACTGAGCATGATCAACAATGTAGGAAGTAGATCTAAGACTACCTAGAACATCACTCTTAGATGATGCAATTAACCCTCTGTATAACCATGGAGGAAAAATAATATTCAAATGAAAATTTGATATTTAATGATAAAAGAAAAAAAAAGAACTCGAAACCTAAATTAAAGCATAATTGTAATATATTACAATTTTTACATTATAACAAACCAAACAGTATTGAACACAGTGAAATCTGTTAATTTGTAAACATAAACTAAACAATATGAGAAATAATCAATAACCCCAAATAAAGCTTACCCAAGTAATAAACTTAAAAAATATATATAACAACAACTACATGAGACAAATTTCTGTACCTACTATTAGTCTACGTTTGTATTTGTTTTAATGTTCTTCGCCATCAGTGTAACTCAGTTGAGGTGAGCTAACATAGATCTGAACTGCATTTTTCTGCTGGTCATAATTATATTTTGGTATATAAAGTAAGCTACTAAGTGTTACATTAGAAACTTAAAATTTAAAAAGAATTACCTATTAAATGTAGAACTAACTCATGATATCATCCAGAAAGTAAAATGGCCAATGTTTTATTGTTTATGTCACTGAAGAAAGACAACAAAGGAAAATAAGGAGAGAAGAAATATTTAATTTTTTTACTCTTATGCAGGAACATTTTTCTCTGATAGTTAGTTAATCTTTGTTGCTCAAAGCAGTTTTTCTCATCCATAGTAACTAACCAGCATATCAGAAACAAATGACTATCTTTCTTATTGGATCAAGCACACTAGAGAGAGAGAGAGAGAGAGATACACATGTTCATATTGCCCAGTAAGATGTGATAATGAGTCAAAGTATGTTGATACATTTAAACAAACAAAGATGATGATATTTACACAGGTCACACATTTGTCAGGAATATTACATTTATAACTAGAAATTTTGGGGGGGATGATTTTGTTAAAACTATTGAGGATACCATTTTTTTGCGAGATAGTATTAGGTTCTACCTCAAGTGAAAACAAATACTCAGTTTGGATTGATATTTCCTTATTTATCCCTAAAAATTACAAAACATGTAAAGAATTTCAGCTAAATTTATCCCTAAATTTAACTAAAATTGAAAAATTTGTTTAAGTGATTGTACTTTTGAAACAGGGAATTCAAACAGTAAAGAGTGACGGTGAAAGTAAAAAATTGTCAATGCTTAATAGTCCATCCAGAACTAAAACAATGGATCAGAAAACTAGTGATCTTTTGTTAGAAACTGAAAAACTAAGAGAAGAACTAACTAAGGTAAGTAGATAATTTCTTCAGAATAAAAGTAGTTTTGGTGTAGCATGTTGTGAAATTCAGTGTCATCTTTTCTGAAGCTCATTTATTTAAGTGTTTCAAATTATTCACTTCAAATCAGGCAGACTGATACTGAAAGCCTTTCCTTATTAAGCCTGAATTCATGCTGTCAGCAAAACTTTTACCTCAAGATTTCTGACTGTCCTTTTATATGTTTGCATGCCATATATGCCACTTACCCATATTCCATTCTCCCACCTACCATGTGACTTATTGCATCAGTGGATATTACACTGTGCTCCCACTATAAGTTAGATTTATTTGTTGACAGTCATGCTGTATGACTTTGTTAGTTTGTGTGTCTTTTAGTCTTTACTTACACAGTACGAATTCGACAGCATCTGTTGTTTGTATAACTACATCTATTATTCATAGTGATAAAGTGTTCCTTGGCGAAAATATTTTTCCAAAGTTTGTGAAACTATAGAGGGGAGAAAAAGCAAGTGCTATTAATAACAAAGTTCTTTGTCTTACCGTAATACATTTCCAGTGCTTTCTCAGCATTGTCAGTTCCACATATTTCTACCATTTTATACTGATGTTACTGAAGAGTAGGCAGTTTTTGTGGATGCTTCACTTGCATAACACTAATAATTTTGGAGTTGGGAAACATTTTCAAAACTATCTCTGTATTCCTACACTTCATGTTCCCCTTTTCTTATCAGTTGTTTACACTGTATGTTATTAGTTTACTCGTTTTGATAAATTATTTTTCTGCACAGTTACTGACAATATCTACTTTGATGTCATTTTCACCTATGAGTTTCACTGGTAATGTTGCTGTTACCAAATGGCTCTTTCTTTAACATTTTTGCCCTGTCAGGTGGAGTTGCAAGGTACTCATCTTTTAATAAGATGACCTCCATTATATATACCTATGAGTTTATTTAAAAAAAAATTGCTTAATATTTGTTTTTGCAGGTCTTTTTCACTGGTTTCACATTCGTGTGAAGCTAACTTGCTCTAGTTGATTAGGGTTTTAGCATCTGGTTTTGCTTTAGGTCATCATTCCATTCTAGAGTCATGTATGTATTATTTTATTTTTTGATGCTCATTACATCTACTCATAAATCTAGTGCAGTGTCCTATTGTGGCAACAGTAAGTCTACAAAGTTCTAAAATTTAAATCTGGCATTCGTTAGCTGTGGTGGATGGAGCATAGATAGCCTATTGTGTAGCATTGCACTCAAGCACATAAACAAATTTTTTGGTAGCTAGCATTTATGTAAATGAGGTCGGTGTTTATAACTCTCTCGTTGAGTCTACTGGATGACTCTTCTGTACAGACTTTTGAGGAATCATCTCAGACATTTATTTTTCTGTGGACCCTTCACTTCATGTGTCTTGGATTCATCAGATTCTTTACTTTGTTTTTTTATTTCTCATCCATAATTCCATCTTCTATTCAATTTTTCCATACCAAAGGAAGGTCATACTGCATGTTGACTCAGAGTTTTTTGCTCTCATCTTTTTGTTGTGACACAGATAACAGATTAGGAATTGGTCATAAATCATTCCAGTCTCATTTTTATCAAGATATATCTTATTGTTCAGTGAATCCTATGTGAATTTCATAACAGTTCCTTTGTTGATGCTTTTGGTTGACACACAGTTTCACATCTCTTATATCTACATACTGATTGACCCATCTTCATTTTTTGCATGATGAAGTGAATTGTCACTTTACAACCTTCGTATTTGGTCTGTATTAGATGTTCTATGAATTAACATGTATAGTGACAGCTGTCATTAGACTCATACACACATTCCATATTGATTGTCATCCTTAAGTGGATGATTTAGAGGATTCTTGCTCAATGGTTGCCTCGTATTGAATTGTCCTCCAGTTTGTTTCTGCTGTGGGTTGGACTGTTCAAGAGTTCAGATCTCATCATGTGCCTACTTACAGTCTTGTTCATCTGAGATTTTGTATTATCACACACTCTTGAACTCTTTACCCATATAAGTGGACTTTGCAATCCCACGAATTTTGGTTATGCATACTTCTCCATCAATCAATCACGTGATCTCTGATTTGGGAATGATAGCTTCTCTTTTAGTGGGGGATATCCCCTTCTCACATTCATATGTTGAGAGTTTTGAGTTGTTCCACATACATGACAGGAGTTCCTGCCCTTCCTACCCTACTGCTATGTTCTTCTAGTCACAGAAACTTCAAATGTGATGACATATTTCACCATGCTAGTAGGGTTTCTCATAGCACTTGTTTGCTATGGTGTCTATGTTGTTGTTTTTTTTTGCAGCTGAGCTGTCATTTCTTGGATTTTTCCAATGGTATCAGTTGTCTCTGCTTGATGCATTTATGACAACTATGCATTATCAACTGATGCTATGAGCCCATTGGGGGAAAAAACATTATGCCTAGCCTTTTAATTTTCTTTCTTGGATATTGAACCAAGATCAGTTGATCCCATTGTCCTGCCCTTCTTTTTCTTTCTCAGACTGACCTGCTTCATCTTGTTTTCAACTCCTCTTGTCTCTCTCATAGGAATTATTTTCCCTTACTTTTGATACATTTGGATCAATGATGGTTGTCATTAAAAGTATTGGAATACAGCAATATGATATGAGCATCGTATTGTGA